AAAGCCACCACTGCTAGTTGGCTATCCTATATCAGCCTCTCAAGGCTACCTTACTGCTTGTATTTTGTAGCCCCCATTCATCAGCTTAGAGCCTTCCCTCAAAGGAACTCTGTTCCCCACTGTGATCTAATTCAGACAGACTGTCATAGATTCCCAAGTTCTCCTTATCCTAGTGCTTCAGATAAATTCTTCCACAACCCCAGCTTGGGCTAGACTGACTTCTCAACCCAAGAGCCAGGCTCATATAGCCCCTAGGCTTCATTTCTGGTCACCTCTCCCTCTTATGATAAAGCACAGGGGTTCCTTAGTAGGGCTGCGTGAAATTTTGCTGGCTGTTTCATTTCGACACTGTTTCAACTCATTTCGAGGTCGAAACAGCAAAATCAAAATGAAACAAAGGGCGGTGAAACAGCCTAGATACAAAACGACGCTAGTCAAAATGTTTTGACCACAGCGCTGGGGAAAAGAACTCAGCCCAGCTGGGCTGACTTCCCATCCCCAGCGCTAGATGGCACTGAGGTCCAGGAGTCAGCCCAGCTGGGCTTCTTCCCATCCCCAGCGCAGCGCAGCGCAGCCCAGCCGGGCTGATTCCTTGACCCAGCATGGTCTAGGCTGTTTTACACAGCCCTATTCCTTAGTAGTAGTCTGCAGGCTTTTATCTCAGCTGTATGTGGCTTACTGCTCTCTACTGGTTGCCTGCAGGAGTTGCCTCTTTCTAATCGAGTGAAATAGACTTCACCAAATGGAGCAGATCAGCAGTGCCGTGATGTGTGCAACATAGCTGATCCACTTTGTTAAGCAAAACATAAGTTATCCCTGTCTTTGATGGTGTGGGATAAGTGGGTGATGTGATCTCCCCACTTTCACTGCTGCCCCAGGCCTGCACTATAGGTCTGAAGCAGCTGGGAAAGATGCCTCCACTATCAGCCAGCCCCATGGGACTGGCTGGGTTAGGAACACCCTGTCCCAGGTGGAGATTTCCAAGCAGGGAAGCCCTTTTTCCACTCCCCAGACCCACTTCACAGGTCTGGGTGAGCAGGGAAAGGGCCACAAAGGTCTGCTGCAGTAAAGCAGCAGAATCTATTACTACTTCTTGTTGTGCCACTGGTGTGATACCTGTCATGCGGTGCAACAAAGGGCAAGGACATCTATTTGTGCCGCCTTAAAAAAATGTTAGGCAGCACAAATGAGACTACAGACAGGTAATGTCTGTCTCCACCCAGAGGAATGCCTGTTACAGAAGCCTGTTACAGCGTCTTGATATGAAATGTCACTTTTCTCCTCCCCAGGTTATAAATGGCCTCAAGTGCTGCGACCAGGATGCCTATGCTGAGGTGAACGGAGGAAATGACTTTGCCCTTATGGGTCCTGCTGTGATAAGGCACCTTTCCATGCAGTCCGGTGGAGGGAGGAAAGCCCTGTTCCTGCATGAGCGATTGAACCGATGAAC